TCAAATCCCGTTGAAGCCCTGATTTTTCCCTCTTTCCAATTGCTTAAATTGGAAAATTTACTGCGATGATCATTCTTCACTTTCATCTACAACCGCACTTCAAAAATGAATTATTTCATATACTTCACATCAGTATGTGTATTGTGTGCTTTGTCTCATACATTATCAGTTGCTTTTATTATCGACATATCTCTTTTTTCCCTTTTCTTGTATTGCTTAGAGGGACAGAAGGCTTGTTCTTGTTACACTTTTAAAGGTGAACTGACCGGCAAAAGATTGAACTGGGAAAAGGCAAATGAATCTTGTGAGGCTACAAATGAACACCTGGTTGTCATGGAGACTGAGAGGGAGTGGCAATTCATCACCGATGAAATTGGGAAGCTTAATACAGAATATAATGAGTGGCACATAGGTTTGTTTAATGCAAGTGGAAGCTGGACCTGGATCAATGGTGAACCTCTGACCAAGTGGCAAGAAACCAAGTGGCACGAAAGTGAACCTGCCCCTGACGACCGTTACGGTCTCATTCATAAGAACTTTCCTCCAGGTTCTAATGGGACATTCAGCGGCAATAAAGGAGTTTCAAGAGATTATATTTGCGAGCAAGAAACAGGTAAAACTAAGTCACATTTAGGTTTACTCTAAAACTTGCTTGTTGTTGACTTAAAGTTGAAAATCCTTATTTCATATATTTCACCTTCAGACCAAGTAGACCAAGTAGCCTCTTGAAAGACAGTCACCGAAGCAACGTTTTATCCAGTACTAGCGCAGTAGTTATAATTGCTACTTAATTCTAAGCTCTGCTAGTTTTAAATGCCGTGAAAACGATGCGTCGTTTACTAATTATAATAGAAACCAAACTTAACTTCAGTTTATTGGATAACTTCTTAGCACGAATAGGAAGCCGCAGATGGCAACCACTTTGAGAAGAGGACTTGTTAAATAAATCACTATATTACTGTTTTTCTGTTTTCAAATCGACGTTCAGGTGGCTCGATGGGGTTTTTCAGGGTCAATACCTCCCAAGTTTAAACATAAACTACGTCGCTATTTACAATTTGGAAAAATTTCCACCGCAGATATAAAAGATGAAAATTTGTTATAATCATAGCCGGAGAAAACAGCCGACATTTGACGACGCCACCACTGGTTTCCCCACCAAATGACGCCTGAGAAACGAGCGCAGAAATTCCATACTGATGACGCGTCACTACCTAGATCTGGGTAGTGACGAGTCATCAGTATGGAATTTCTGCGCTCTTTTCACAGGAGTCATTTGGGGGCGGGGGGGGGGGGGGGGGAACCAGGGGGAGCGGCCCCAAAGTTGGGCTGTTTTTTCATGCTTTTATAAACAGTTGTCATAGAAACGAAATGAAGCCATTATTACCTTTTTTTCTTGCAGTTGTATTTTTCGGGTTTGGAAACCGTCTTTTCAAAATCGTTCAAGGGAAATTTTTCCTTCTGTTTTGTTAGGTAAACGCCCCCCCGCCCCGTCTCTTCCCTCCTTCCCCGCCCCCTGTTTTGGCGATCGGTGTGGTGTGGGTGGGGGTTTGGGTGTGTGGTGGGGGGGGGGGGGGGGGGGGGGGGGGGGGGGGGGGAGAGGAACCAGTGGTAGCGTCGCCAAATGTCGGCTGTTTTCTCATGCTCTTATAATCAGTTGTCATAGCAACGAAATGAAGCCATTATTACCTATTTTACTTGCAGCTGTATTTCTCGGCATTGGAAACTGTCTTTCCAAAATCGTTCACGGGAACTTTTCCCTCCAATAGCTGACTCCATGTTCGTGAAGTTTAAGCGAATCTGTGAGAGCGTTATCGAGATATTTTTGGGGGTGAAGTTTTTATGTCTAGAAATACATATACGGCAAAAACTGGACAATCTTAGTGATGTTGGACCCTTATCGGTAGAAAACGAAGCGCTTTTGAAATGCAGTTTTACCTCATAATAGTTTCAATCTTTTAAAAACGATCATGGCGATAGTTCTAGCGAATTGCTGGAATTAGAAGGATTTGATTAGTATGTCTCGATGCGATTTTGTTAGCGGTTTTGTAAACATTTTTGTCTACTTCTAAACAGAAAAGTGAATAATTTTTAAACCGCTTGATAAATTTTTTTCAAAAAATTGAGATTCTAGAGATTAACCGTCGTTTTATGTGACCTTTGAGTTTCAATATTAGTGATACAGTCAACTCTCTTTAAGACGGACACCTTTGGGACCGGCACTAAGTGTCCATCTTAGAGAGGTGTCCATCTTATAGAGAGTCAAATAAAAGGATTAAAGAAAGGCAGGGACCAACTCTAAGTGTCCGTTTTACAGAGGTGTCCGTTAAGAGAGAGTCGACTGTATACTGTAAGGCAGTATAATAAGGGCTACAATTCGCTATTTTTTTTTCTTCAGAAATTTCCTGTTTACCAGAGACAGCCTGTCATTATTCAGTGGTGTTGTTTCCAAGTTTCATTTTCACGTGAACAGCAGTAAATGACAATGCATTTGAAATATGCAGAAATGTTAGCTATTGTTGTCCGCGAAAACATGAAACTAACCATAAAAACTTCTTTTTCAAACATCGCGATAGCGCTCTTACAGATTTCGCTTAAACTTCACGAACATTGAGGCGGCTATTGGAAGAAAAAGTTCCCGATGTCATTGTTACCCTGTTTATAACAAATTTTCGTTTTTACCTAATACAGCTGGGGTGGTAATTTTTCCAAATCTTTGTTAATGTAGAGGTAGTTTAAGCTCAAACTTGGAAGGTATTGATCCTAAAAAACTCAATCGAACCACCTTAATTAACTCTAGTTTATTTTTCCCTTACAGATAACTGTGACAAAGCTGACAATATAAGTGTCTGTATGCGACATTATAATGTGACGACACCTACTAAAAGGCCGCAAACGACAACAACCTCATTACCTCAGTCCGCCAACACAAAAAAAGACAGTACAAGTTCAACTCCTCTAACCCCAGGTTTGCAAAGCTAGTCCATGTTAGTCATACTTATCAATAATTCAAATTCGATTTAATCAGAAACTATTTGGCAAGCTTTTTAAGGCAAACTGAATTTGTTACCGCATTTGATCATAGCTAAGTACTGTTTGCAATCGGGAAAACAAGCACTTATATGCCTTAAAATATTTTTCTCAAATGAATCTCAGCTATCATCTCTCAGCTCTAGGGTCTATGGATGATTTCCTCAAGGGAACACAATTGTACTCCACTACAATGGGGTAAAATTCCTTTATCGTTTGTACTCCCTTTATAAAGAAACCGAACAAGGCGAGGAAAAAAGAAAGGAAGAAAAACGAAAGCGGGCACAAAATAGACGTAACAAACAGAAAAACCTTCCAATTTTTCAAGGCTTTTTTCCCACTGGGAAATGCTTAAACAAATAAATTTGCTTGTAGCGAACGGCCTTTTTTTATCTCAAGGCGGGACTTTATTAATCGAAAACGTCCAGTTTTCGGTTTAAGTTTTTTGTTTCCCAAAATAAAAGTTTTTAACCTGGACACATGATTCAATGTATCACGAGTATCATTCTTCTTATATCACACTTTGTCCCTTGTTTTAGGTTATTCAAACCCACAATTAGGCGAGGATAAAGACGACACAGTAGTTATAGTAGCGGCGACCCTTGCAGCAGTCGTATTCATTGCAATAATTGCACTTGGTGTAGTTTTGTTTCTGAGGCGGAGGAAACGTCAATCACATGGTAACTTACTTGTAGCAACAGGATAATGTAATTGATGTAAACAATTTTTATTCAGACTGTTATTTCCTTTTGTTAGCTCTGTGTTTTGGAAAGGATTCAGAGCCCGAAGAGATTACCTTGTAATACTGAAAAAGGGGTTCTGGATCTACCCGTCGGAAATTATACCCCCAAATAAAACTTGCCTGGGTACGACAGGCTAAATTTTACCCTGAAATGTCGTCTTCAAAAAACAGACGACCAAATAGGAAAAAGACTGCGTTTTATTATGAAAAAAAAGTTAAGAATGCCTCATCTTCCTTTTCTTGTGCTTTTTATTTTATTTAAAGATTATTACTCTCTTAGTAAGATGTTTAACTGAGCTCTATGCAATACCTAAGTGAGTTAAACTATTGCACGACCGTTTCCATCTTATATACCAAAACTGATACCCGGGAAAAAAGACATTTCATACCCCTCAACTCATTTGGGAGTCCTGTTTACTACGAGAATCAGTGAAGTTTTAATTGAACTCGTCGGACATTTTAATATTAAGAAACAAAACGTAGCATAGAACATTAAATGTGAATTTTTTAGGGTTTTCCTTCAAATCAATGACTCGAATTTGTAGCCAGACATACGTCCGGGTTATAGAAGTCCATTTTGGACACGCTCGGATTCGATCCGATCCCTTCCTAATAATGTTAACTGAAACACGAGTGTTTAGCTGTCAGCCTTGAAAAAATTGCTTCGCTTCTTCAAAACTCTAGAAAAAGAAAATGAACGGAAAACAAGGTCTTCATTAAATTTTAATATTGTTTTCCTTTTAGGTGCTCATGGGAAAGTGGATAAGTCGTTGTAAGCATATCAATTAAATTGCTTATTTATTTGTTTGTAAACTTCGCCGAAAGGCCTGGATTACTCACAGAGCAAGCCCCACTACGCGGTCCAAAAAAAAAAAGAAAATTAGTAATACAACTAACAAGAATGACAATAATTTGGAAACGACAAAAAAAAAACAAACAGAAATGCAAAAACAGAATTGGGGAGGACACCGATAAAAAATCAACAGCACATACGATCGAGCATGCTGTTCAATGGCGGACTAGTGTGGCACTTAATACACACACTCTTAAGGGTCTGGGGGGTGTCGACGTCATAAACAGACTAATAAGTGAGATACAAGTAGTAATTAAAAGGATCTTTCTTGAAGTGCGCTGCTGGAATAACTACATTTTCTCTGACGTGATTATTGAAGATCTTTTTATAAATGAAACGTTTTTTAGTGATAGGTGTATATTCCATTGCGCCACTTTTAAATCACGCACCCAGTGTCACGAATCACAGGCTTTGACGTACGTACACCTATTGACAACTATTTTTTGTCTCGTACTTATTTTAAGGAGCCATTTGAGCCAGCCAGAGAACCAGTCCGAACCCATCGACCCGGCTGAGGCCGCAATGCTGCTTGGGAAAACGAATAGTACCAACAGTCGCCCTGAGAAGGAACAAGCTGAATACGCTATGGTGAAGAAAAACGACATCAAAGAGGTGTGTATTGAATATCTAATCAAGGTCTTGCTGCAAATGATAACGCAAAACTGTTGTAGGTACAGGTAAGCTCTCCAAAATGTCGTCTAACAACATTAAAAGTAGCTCCATGATTGGTGAGTTTTAGAGAAACACTACAATTCTCAGTATTGTGATGAGTAGGATGAAATTGAGGCTGAATCGAAGCAGTTTCTTCTGGGTTCCTTAGAAAACGATATGTACATGTTTTCGTCTCTCCAAACATGATTGACAGAAGATGTTAATAAAAAAGTTAAACTGAATAACATCATCAATTTCATTGACTGGTTGCAACAGTGCAAATCGGCTACATAGCTAGAAAACGCGCTCGCGGCTATGATGGGTGCGCGCGGTAGCTAAATCAACTTGCAACCTCACCTAATTGTTTGTCACAGAGTATGAACATTATTGTCGTCATCTTCAACGCTCTTATAAATTATCTTGCCGGTATTTTTAGCCAACAAAAGAAGATACGACGCAAGAGTCTCCGTCTCCTGAAATGGATCATGAATACGCTGTAGTGAACAAAGCCAAGAAAAAGGTACCTTATTAGTCCGATGGGATACTCCCACATATGTGCCGCCTGATAGGGTATGGCTTTTAAGGGGCTCCATCCTAAGCATCATTTTTGCCCTTGTTGGCGTTGTGTTCCGGTGGATCGGGTTCCGTTTATTTTTCCAGCTATAAAATTTAACTGGGTAAATGCCCAGCTACACGAGAAACAACTCATCTCACCTTAGGAAAGAGTATTAGGAAAGAGATCTTATGAAGATTTGGGTGTTCCCATTAAATTCTTAGTTTTTGTTTTCCCCTTGAATTGGGTCTCTCTCTCTTTTTTTTTTTTTTTTTTTTTTTTTTTTGGTTTGGGTGTCTTGGCTTTTGTTATTTGTGGTAGGTGGGTTGTGTGTTTGGTTTGCTGTGCGTTTTTGTTGGCCTCTTAACGATCAACTTTTTTATTCCCCGGTAAGAAGGCCTCCAAAGCATTTTTTTTTTTTTATTTTTTTTTTTTCTAGGTTTGGGCCTTAAATGGGGTATCAGCTTTTGTTCTTATCCTTAAAAAGGGCCAGGGTTTAAGACCCCTGGGCGGCACTCACCGGGCTTCTTAGTTGTTATTTTCAATGTTTTTACCGAAATTAAGATTGAAAGGTATCGTGCAGCATTCGGCAAGGTTTGAATATGTGAGGCACAACTAGTTGACTCAGATCGCCATTCATATAAAATTCCTTCGCCATGAAATCTCTCATCGACTACGTGCTTTTAGTAAATAAACGTACCTTAAAGGGTGTTATAAACTTCACGGCTTTAAAACCTTTAAAGTTTTCGGTTCCACGTCCCTTTTACGGCTAGATTTCTGTTGCTTCTCCCGGAAGAAACGTAAGTCTAGCTCATAGTTAGTTTCCATCTGCACACAACACAATTGCACAGCGGTAGCGAGAACGCTCATATGAATACTTGGGCGCCAATACGCAGGTTTAAAGTTGTTATTCGTGCTCGTTGCGTTTGCAGAAAAAGGAAGGAGATCTTCTTTATGCTGAAATCGACGTGGCTGAGTTTGGCGAAACCCAGAATGACACTGAAGCACACAAACCGTCTTCATATGAGCCCACGGTATATGCTGACGTAATGGTTGACACGGCGGATCCGGATTCCACGCAACCAACTTACACGAATGTTCAGACTACCGGAGTGTGAATGCACTAAACGTTTACCCTGATATAAAGAGACCAAACTGTATATTCATGTAATAAGGATGTGAATCTAGTGCCGCTAAAACAAATAAGTACGAGAATGTTAATGGGAAGATTACCCTGCCAGTACTAACTCTTCGACTGTCGCAGGTTGAGAATTTATAGAAATAGATTAAATATTAATTATCGAGGTGAACTTTACTATATTGTGTAACTTATTAGCCATTAGAGCTCAAAGTTTTTGGTTATTACAACTCTTATTTGTAATGTTTTACAATAATAAAATTGTTAGTAGGATATTTCAGTTTTGTCTCATGATTTGGTAACTTGCTGATCTTCATCAGGAGATGAAGACAATGGTTACTTGTCACTTTATAGAGCACGATGCTCCGCAGTTACCGGTATTGTTAACAGTGGGATTGGCGCATTTCGATCCTCGCTGTTTCGGGGAGTTGTACTCCCAGAAGGTCCGATTTCATGAACGCGGCTTTGCTGTTCTTTTGCTAACCTTGTGTTTCTTGATCTATGCTTTTGGAATTTCTTTTCCATTATCATCTTGATGTTAAGGTTATGTTTAACCTAATTGTCTCGTCAGGGTAGACTTAACCACATTACTATGAATAGGGAACGCTGGCCTGTAAAGCAAACCATCTTGTTTTACTGGACCCGGTTCGTGCAAGGGAATCCGAGACAGCCTTGGATTCTGTATTTTAGTCTTTGTTAATGGAACTTGGATTCTGGATTCCAATCTTAAGTAGTACTCCGAATTCCTTGAGCTGAATTCCGGATTTCAAAGTCGCGGCCAGGATTCCGGATTCCACAAGCAAAATCCTCCCGGATTCCTGATTCCACATGAAAAAATTTCCCGGATTCCGGCATCCGTATTCCCTTACATGGGGAGAAGTGGAGGAGCAGCGTCCAGGGGGCGTCCATGATCTTATGCAGCACAAGACAGAATTGTTCGAACAAACCTTATAGGGTATAAAAACCGCAGTGGATTTGAACTCGCTACCACCACTGACTATGTGAATCAAAACACTTTTTCGCATTAGGTGCCATGGTAGCTATGGAGGATTATGTTATACTTGTTACCTTTTGATAGTTAAGCAGAATTCGCTTGTATTATTTTCGAACCGGTTGGTGAGAGGCTATCGACGCCTCGGCGATCTGAGAGGGTGAAGGTGTCGTTTGCGTAACGTTTCCAGTTTCTTGTCTGGTAGGAAACCTCAGACACGGACTATCCATTGCTTCTCCTGTGTTCTCATGACAGGTAAACATATCTTGAGACATACGGGAGCAATGCAAGTGATCGCGCTTTTTGGTTCACTTCTTTGACGTCGACTCAGCTACCGTCGTCTTGGTGGCTGCTTTATAAGTTCCCTAATACATGTACTTTATTATTACCAATATCTTGACAATGAATAACACTAAGACAGCCGATATCATTTGAGTTGATGCTCTTGTACTGTTGCTGTGTTACTGTTGAACTACCGGTTCGTCATCGTGCAAATGGCGTATTAAAGGGTAAAACGGGAAAACAGGTAACATAAAATTGTGAAACGAAATCGAACAAAAATACAGTTGCTGAAAAAAGTAGTTACGTTTTGCCAGACACATGTACAAAGCCAGACTGAAAACAATTATATTCCTTATAAATTGGCGCATTATGTAGCTGATGAAGGTGATTAGCCATTACGCCAGCTGATGTTTTTCATAGTTTGAATTTGGGAAGAAGCCAGCACTGCAGGACTGAGATCGGGGCATCTGTCACCCTGGGAAACTCTACAAAAGCAGGAATTTAATACGCAGAATACACCAAAGAATTGTCTGATATCTATCAAAACATTTGCTCGTAAATTTTTCAATGTTTTTTTCCCCAGACCTCGACACTTTCGACTTCCTAACAAGTATTCAGCTCCCCAAGGAAGTGGGCTTTTTCCGCTATGGTTCAATGTATTCCCAGGAACACCAAACAACCCGGAATAACTCTAAAAAACTCGCAATGATAGGTTAAATATCTGAAAAAGGCAAACAGAAACCTGAACTTCAATCTGTCATTTGTCGTATCCCTGAGTGTTCCGGAGTGTTCCGTCTACTGAGTTTTAGTACATGCAGATATCGCTTACCTCATTATTTATATCAAGAGAGGATTTACGTTAGAGCAACGCCTATTTTTGGCGTCACCCCAGCTGCTCAAACACCATTTAATTCATCAGTCGTTGGTTTTGGCAAAGGCATTTTATTTGAGCCTCTGTTGAAGTATGAGCAGCTTAATCTTAAAAGTTATGATGAAGCTGATAATGTTGGCTTGTCTTCAGCTTGACTTTATGTACGCCGAAGGTAAGTTTAGGCAATTAAGTCGTATAGTATTGCTCTTCTAGCCAGGGCCGAGGTTGTTCATGAGGTATGTAGCATCACTACAAAGATTATTTATATTGCAGTAGAGAAACGCTAATTTGAGGAATTGATCAGATATCCTGAACAGTTAAAAGCAATTCCGTAGTAGTCTTTACTACTGCATCTCTGAATACTATACTGGAAAGTAATTTACAGGTACTGAGGTAATGCCGATTATACGAACACAGACATACTTCCTTATTTGAAACATTCGGTGATGACTTTCCTATTTCCTATTTTATTAATTCAGTCCCGGCAATCATAGCCTTCTACTCTAACAATCAACTCTGACAATCAAACTGTCGTCGCTGAAAATTCATGCCATGCGTATTCTACGCGTAAAAGCACGGAGAAGAACAAAATCGTGTTTCAGAGTACGTGTATTTGTCGGAGACTTTTAAGAAAGTAACGCAACTTTCAATATCATGGTTATTTGTGTTTAATGAACAAATAAGGTCCAATTTCTATGGGCTAATCCGATAGAATGTTCGCCTATGATTTGCAACGTGGCTGAGAATCGCAGAGAGAAAAAACGCGAAAAAATTAAAATGAAAATATGAGGAAGAAGAACTATGACCAAATATAGGCTTCAAAAGCGGAATAGGCGAACTAACTAGGCTATATTTAATTTGGCAGATACAAGCAATATCTCGGGGCCAGTCTATGGTAAAAAATAAATATGACCTATAAGCTTCAGCTTCAGATCGTAGAAACTGAAAGCAGGAAGTTTTTGACAAAATCCTTTCTTGACCTCAGCTCGGTTGGATGTCCAATAGCTTTCAATTTTATCCTGCAAAATGAGCATAATTGCAAGAAGGGCGTGAAATTTTGAAATATTTGTTTACATCAAAAAGTGAAACTTGAAATGCCTACTCATGTTAAATTAAACAAAAACAACAATCAAATTAATAATAAGCAACAATGAACAAGCAAACAAGCACAAAAGACGATAACAACGACAACAAAAGCAGTGCTGAAGTTCTCGTCATATTACAGTTTATTATTTACGCCATACATGAAAACTAACACATCTGGATAAAATAAAAGATAATTTGCGTCGTAGCCTCGCACATTCAAGTAGTTTCTATCTGGTTGAGCAACAATGCAACTGGCTCGTTTTTCCGAGGATGCAGAACTTCATAAAAGGGAGACAAATTACAGCTCAGGACTAAAACCTCCAACAATTTCTTTCTTCACCGTCCCCCCACTCAAGATAAAGCAACCTTTTCTTTCATTCTGGTTTGTTGACTTGACATACGGGTTACGGCTTATTTCCCTGAAGCGCAACGGGGAGTAGAGGTAACGTTACAGACACTAAGGCCACCAATTACCGAAAAAGAAAAGCCATATTATCTCTTATCGGCTACCATGGCAACTCCTCAGTTAACAATCACTACCGGAATAGCTGTACTTATCACCAAACAATCAGAACTCTCAACTACTAATCAAAAGCCACCACCAAAGATAACTGCTACCAAGGTAACGCCTCAGTCGACAAGCACTTCCAGAATAGCTGTAGTTGCCACCAAACAAGCAACACTAGCATCTACCAATCTAAAGCCATCACCAAAGGCAACTGCTTCCATGGCATCGCCTTGGTTAACAATCACTTCCAGAATAGCTGCTGTAGTTATCACTAAACAATTAAAGCCAACTGATACCATGGAAACATCTAAAATTATCTCTAACCAAGACACAAAAGCCATTTCAACTTCAGTATCTAGCTATTTTAACAACACTTCAGCTACATTATCATCATCTACTTTTACGATTTCAGGTAAGTTTTTGTTCGAAAGATGTGAAAATAATAAAGGAAATAAAATATTAGTCGAAGAGAGAGGTGGCGTCAAAGTCCGTATTTATTCTTAATTTTATTTTATTTTAAGGGGGAGGGGTCGGCTGTGACTAGACACAGGCCGCGAATCAGGAGTCAGCTAAAGAAGACCTGTGCTTAATAGGGTTAGATACATTATTCTCGACAATTTGAGCGTTATTCTTTTGAACCTCACCCTCAAAACAACAGCATTATGCTTAAAAGTATGCTCGAAAAGTGGCATTATGCTCGACTGCCCTTGCGGGTTATATTTGATGCCCTTTTCCATGCCTGCAGACAAAAAAAATACCTCCATAAGCTTGACACACATTATAATTACAAATTGACAAGAAATAAACGACAAATAATGCTAAAGAAGTACTCAAAATGTCTTCTTTCAATGGCTTTCCATCTTTACGATACGCTCTGATCAGTTTGTAGCCTGGCATGATCATGCAACGGCGCTACCAGGCCTTGAAAGTAGCAACCAAGCCTTTCTGATAAGTTGATTTCTTACAATTTATTCAGTGAAGCTGAGCGCTTATTAAATTTTCACCATTTTCAGCAAGGTTTAAATCTATAAACAATAAATCAATTAACAAACCCCGAAGATGTACCGAAGCAGAATTTTATCTGTTTATAAAAAGTTTCTTTAAAACACTAAGAAACATCGTTCAATTGTGTGAGGCCATGCGAGGAAGTCCTGGGCTCAGTGCTCCATTATGGCTCCTGGTGCTACTAAGTCAATACCCAGTTAATCTGAAGCGAATTTCGAGACAAAAGCGCTAACAGAA